CCTGCTGCGTGTCTCCAATTCTGATGCTATTTCCATGTCAAGACAAGAGAATGACCTTTGTGTTTTGCTCTGCTGCATAGGTCTGAGCTATTGATTATTTTCATCCTGAGTAGTGCCTTTCTGAGGGACAGATGCTAAGCCAGATATAGAGGATTGGTCTGGCACCCTCCTCTGGGGACGTGGCTGCCAGCTAGGAGGGACAGGTAGCCTTCAGCTGTGGGCAGCTGGCAGTAATCCTTGCTGAAAGGCAGAGGTACAGAGATGGGTACAAGCAACCACCTTGCAGAGGAAGTCCTTCTCACCTCCAGCGTGTTATTGGCTCTGCTGCTGCTCCCGAGACCACAGGTAGCAGGAGTCTCTTGACATCTTTTGCTGTCCAGAGGTGGGCGAAGCACTTCACTCAACCTTCAGTCAACAGCAAAAGTGGTCTTGGCCAAAGAATTTTTTGGTGAAAAAGCTTCACTTCATTTTGGGTATTTTTGTTTACTTGTTCTTGTGTTTGTTTTTTTTTAATAAAGGGCAATTTCAAATGTAGGCTAAAATGACTACAGAAAACTTACTCAGCTGAAGCTGAAGGTGCTGTTAGTTTTCACTTTGGGTGTCTCCTCAGGAACTACTGAAACGTGTTACGGAAAAGCTAAAAACCCCAAGTAGTTTTTGTTTCAAACACCTGACCCACAATTAGCATTTTGGCTTATTCTAAGAGGCGACGCGGAGGCGCTCGGCTATATGACTGCGGATTGCCACGGGCAGCGTTTGCGCCTGCAGGACGGGTTATTACAGAGCGCTCCCGTGCTTAGGGCTAGCTTTGTAGACCCAGAAGCATCATGCGGCTCCTTGCCTGTAGAGGAGGTGAGAAATGCGTTCAGGTGAATCTGGAGTATAGCCTCTCTGCCCGTGTAAAACCGTAAATGTTGCGCACGACGCTTTTGTTAGCGGCAGGAGGTGGGGGAACCCCTGCGCGCGCAGGCTGTCGTTTTAGCTCTACGTAACCAACAGGGGGCGTTAGGCTTATGCTGCTTGAACGTGTATTTCTACCAGCAGCGAAAAATCTCAACGTTGTTTGATTGAAAACAGCAGGGTGGGACTCCTGTATCCTACAAAAGCTATAGGATTCTGTTTTTCCAGATGATTTAGTAACTGTTTAAGGCTGTTCTGTTTTCTTTAGGTCTAGCTTGTGTCTATTTCAGGATGATGATAAGTGAGGTTGATGTAATTAAGATCCAGATGATCTTTGTATGATCTATAGCTCAAAAAGCACTTGAAAAATTTAAGTGTTTCTGGTGCAAATTTGTTTGTATTGATGATTTCCAGTTTTCTAGCCAGAAATTAAAGTAAGGCTGCAATTATATCTTTCTGATAGAAATGAGATTCAGCAGTACACAGTCAACTGCTGCTCTTCATTACGGAGGAAACCTTGCCCTGAGTTATTTGATTACTGAATGCAAAGGACTTTAGAGAGGAGCTACAGTGCAAGCACAAATTGTGGTCTTTGAAAATGAAAGTAACATTTATTAGAGAGGTAATTATTATGGCTACAACCACTCATACTCCTGTATGTGGGACAATTCATATACACATTCTGAGGGAGATGCGGTTTTTTATATTTATAGCACTGACTGTAGAAGCAATTTTTTTCCCTTCACACATGAATCTGGAAAATTGTGGCCTGCTCTGCGCTCCTGTCACACCCAAGCAGCTGTGTTACTGCTTTAGGTGAAGTGCTTTCCACAGTCTATATAAACTTGAGCTGCATTTGGCAATATGGAAACAGTTAAGGAAGTAGGTGTTAAATAATTAGGCAATACAGCTGAGGAGAACTGCTTTCATAAAGCAATGTCAAAACAAATTTTTGGCTAAAATGTATGGACACTCTAAGCTTCAAGAAGTTGATTTAATTACCTGCCTTATGTTAAAATGGGCTTTACATAACCTAATAGCTTTAATTTCTTCCAAAGTGAAGTAACAGTTGTGATTTTGAAATAAAGTAAACAAACGAGCAACCTCTAGAAGTCACAGAGCTTTTGCCTGCCGGTGCATCTGGGATGCTGTCAGCAGCTCTGGTCCCCCATGGTCGGAGAAGAGAGATTCTTATTGGATCAGTGGCAAAGAGTACCCCTCTTCTCTGAAGCCCTCTCCATACCCCTGTCATAAAAAAAGGCGAGAGGAGTCTGGTTCATTTTTATCTAGCAAGAAGGAGGTGAAGGGGATACAGCTGCAAACAGCCAGTCCTGTAGCAGGGTACTGCAGAGGTAAGAGAGTTTGTAAAGTAAGGCACGATGTTTGCCTGAGAAAGACGGGTATAACTTTGCAAACCTGCAGGTGGTAAGGGAAGGTATAGTTTTCATCAGATCTCTTTGGGTGGTGCCTGAAGCAAGGAGGGTCAGATGCTTCCTAAGCGTTTGTCCTAATGGCAAGGGCACTCATTCGGTGTCTTGCCCAGGGTGCCTAACCCCAAACTCCTCTGTTGGAAGTGGGAAATGTCTAGTGGTGTCATTTCTGAAATGCCTGGGTTGCTCTGATGTACTGGCCCCACTGATCTTCAGAGCAGGGGCTGTACCGGCCTCCCACCACGCTCTGCTGCGGCAGGACGTGGCTCCATTTGGGTTCCCTGCATGTAAGTAACAAGTCAGAGGGAGTTACGGAGCATTTCTCAGCCTTGTTGATTGGAGTAAATCACAAGAAGGGTACAAATGCTTGTCTGTCCAATTTACTGCTGCCTGGTGTTTCTGACCTCCAGCTGTTGACCAGTTTGTGTGTTGGACCTTAGCTCTGCATTATTAAACAGGTTGTGGGAGACCTCCCAGTGCACAGGCTCACAGACAGATACTTCAAGTGCCATATCCACATGAGAAAGACAGCACAGACTCCTTTCAATGTACTCGAAGCAGCAGCTTAGTTTTACTTGCTTGTATCAGATTGTAGGTTTGCCTGCATGAGTAAATGAAACGCTTAAAGATGTCAAAGGTTGAGTTACTAAAGGGTAGTTGCTCCAGTAGCTTTCTCTTGAAATCTGCTCCTATCTCTGCATATGTCTGACTATCTTCTTAATGTTGACAGTGATTTTTTTCCCACTAAAGTCCAAATGCTCAGAGGTGAACTTCCCATTCAAGTCTTCAGCACAGGAGCAGCTTGTAATTTGAAAAAGGAGAGTCGATAGCCAGGGAGAGGGTTGGATCGGATTCATCAATAGAAAGAACACTCACATATTCATCTCTTTCCTCAACTCTTTTCCCCCTCCCTGCCATCTGGTTTATTTTGGTTCGATGTACTGCACAATTTACCAGCCATGGAATAAGTTTTCTTTTTGCCGTTCCAGGATACCTTGCCTGTAACTTGCATTGTTCGCTTGCTGCAGCCAGGTACTCACATCAGTGGCAGAGGTGCTAGAGTGCAACTTGTCTGTAAAATTTCCAAGCCTGAAAGCTTGCTGTGGGTGTACACTAGTGTATTTTAAAGTTCTGGATCAGGATTTCCAAAGCATGGATCACAGGGAGCTAATATATGGGTCTGATGAGCCCAGGGGCCAAGTAACAAAATTAAATCCCACTCTGATGCTTGCAGACATCTTCCAAAGATGGCCTTGGCTTACTCTGGCCTACGGTCAGGAGCAGTTCCCTGTGCTTATATGTATGTGTTGGTCTTGATGTCTCATTTTGTGCCAGAATCAGAAGCAGTTGTGATATCTGTGGTGCAAGTCTTTTGCCGCTCTTGTGCACTTTTTTAGAGCAGTAAGAAGGTCCTGAGGAAGGGTTAGAGCATGATAGCACCTGAACCTTCAGTTTCACACCTGAGTGGTGACAGCTCTGGTCTCCAGAGTTCTGGGATGTGCATTCTGGTCCAGGAGGGACCCTGTAGTTGCTCCAGTTGCAGTGGCTTGACTCTGAGGGACACCACATCTTAAGATTTCTTCCATAGTCCAAAAGGCGCCGCAGAGAGTGTGGGGTCTGTGGGCTTCAGACTGGCCACCCACTGTAAAAACAAAAGCATGTTTTATCTTACATTGCTTATCTGGCATGCTTGTGGTCTTAAGGGAAGCAACCAGGTCATCTAGAGAGATTTGTTTTTCTGAAAGTTGCTTGGTCAATGCCCTGGCATATCCTTTCCTCCCATAAAGCCGAGTTTAGTGTCCTTCAATACTTAATTCAGTCTGAACTGCATTTTAAACAGTATCTCATCTGTTGGACCCGCTTGTGTTAGCGAAGACTTGTGTTATTCTGTGTATCCTACAGAATAGCAAATTAGGGACACCTTTTCCATGCTAATCATTTAGTCATGTAAGATGTTACCACTTTCCAAAGAAGTGCTGGAGTAGCAGCTGTGTTACTTGTTACGAAAGGATTGTGTGTCAGCAGATTTTGTGTCTATGTCATGTTTTCTGCAGAGCCAGCAGCAAATTCTAATAAAACTTAACCTCACTGGCAATGTTTTCTTGCATTATAGGTTGAGATTAACTGCACTAAAAAGAGGCAATTCCATGCTAAGTTTTTTAACTTCTCTGAAGAATCACTATTATAAACATACCAGTTTAAGGACTACTTTCTGTTTCTGTGAAAATCAATATGAAAACTTGCACAGAATTAATCTGAAGAAGAAAAAGCAGACAGCCAGCTACCACTTGTCCTAAGCCTGGACAGCTAAACTATGCATAAGCCATGTTAACACTGGGCTCAGTGGAAAACTTTACCGGTTATCTGCGGATAAACTGCGCTGTTGTCCTGCAGATCTTTTGCCTTAGTAGTTAGGAAAAGGGACTCATAACTAAATTTATTTTTTCCTATTGCAGTTAGACATAACTTGAAGGATAACATGTATGGCAGGGGCAATGTTCAGCTGCCGTCTAGAATGGCATGAATGATCAGTTCCTCTGTCATGTGATGCATCCATAGGTAATTGGTTTTGCTGTACCATGCACTGAAATCAAGGTTTCCGTGTCAAACTGATCTCTGTGAAGAGAAAGAGTATGTGAGCAAGGGTTGGTGCAGACATGTGCCTGGTGTCATCCTTCCCTCTACCTGAAAAGGAGTTTGGGGAAGGCGCATGAAGCATCAGGCTGGAAATAAGAGGATCTGGGTCTGATGGTGGGCTCTACCCTGACTTTTCTGCTATCCCAACTGTTCTGTCTTAGTGTGTTATCTATAGAACAATGTTTTTTTGCCTATCTTTATCTCAAACTGAACCATATAGGTACAGTGTCTTTGTTGCTGAAACTTTTTTTGAGAAGGGCAACGAAGCTGGTGAAGGATCTGGCTGCTATCCCAACTGTTCTGTCTTAGTGTGTTATCTATAGAACAATGTTTTTTTGCCTATCTTTATCTCAAACTGAACCATATAGGTACAGTGTCTTTGTTGCTGAAACTTTTTTTGAGAAGGGCAACGAAGCTGGTGAAGGATCTGGAGCACAAGTCTTATAAGGAGCGGCTGAGGGAACTGGGGTGGTTTAGTCTGGAGAAGAGGAGGCTGAGGGGAGACCTTATCGCTCTACAATACCTGAAAGGGGGTTGTGGTGACCAAAGCCCACCTCTCTTCTCCCAAGCAACTAGCGATAGGACAAGAGGAAATGGCCTCAAGTTGTGCCGGGGAGGTTTAGCCTTGATATTAGGAAAAATTTATTTCCTGAGAGAGTGGCCAAACATTGGAAGAGGCTGCCCAGGGAGGTGATGGAGTCACCATCACTGGAAGTGTTCAAAAAACGTGTGGATGTGGCACTTTGGGACATGGTTTAGTCGGCATGGTGGTGTTGGCTTGACAGTTGAACTTGATGATATTAAAGGTCTTTTTCAACTCTAATAATTCTATGATTCTGGTCTTCCAGTAATACAACTTTAAAAAAGTATGTTTAAACTTAAAGTTTAGCATCCTGCTGAGTTCTAATGACAATTTCTAAAACAAAAAAAAAATCAGTTGAGCTAAGCCCTGGTGTAAGTAATTTCCTTCTCAAAGACATTTTTTATAAACAAGTGTATATAAATAGGTTTAAAATTGAAAAACCTCTTAACTGCATCACTGTTATAACATTTTACCCAAAACATACAGAATGCTTAACTTAGACTGCTTACATTAGAAGCAAATGCTGTGTTTAGAGCATTTTTCTGTCACTTTTTTTAAGTACAGAATTTTCAGGACAATTTAATGTCATTCACTTATGTCAATGCTTCAGCTGCCTTGAGATTTTTCTAGTGTACTTGATGCACAACCCTCAGGCTCTCAGAGGCATTCCTATAACAGTAAAATGTGGTTAACACAGTGGACTTCTAGTTCTAGAGAAGGTTTTTTTTTTTTCTGCAGCTCCTCCCCATTTCAGAAGACTCCAGAACCTGACATGGTTCTCTCAGAGAAGGGGTGAGAAGAGATGTCAGACATAGGAATAACTTGTAACATCTCTGGGAAGGAAAATGGTGATGATCTGACAAGGACTGTCCTGTGTGCAGTAGCCTTTGCCTTGAGCACCACTGATGGCTGGTTGGTCTGTCCTCCCTCCTGCCGGTGCAGCTTTCCTGGCTGCTTTCCACATGTGCATGCTACCAAGTGTAGAAGGAAAAAAGATTCAACCAGAAGAAAACAGGTTAAAGTAGTCCAAAGATCCTCACAATGGCTGCACCCCAGAGTTAAAAGCAGTTTTTTGTGTATTGTAAACTGGGCTCAGGAAGGACCTGTGAGCCCGTACAGTCCTTGCTTCTGTTACGGATTTCCTCAGAGCACACCTGCAAGGATATTTTTGGGCTATAAAGACTTTAGGATTAGTCAAAAAGGCCAAGAGAAACAGAAGATGCTTCTGCAAGGTGTTTGTAGCTGGACACTACTTTAAATGCAAAACACTTCTTCTAAGATATAACCGTGGATTGTTTCCTGTTCTGAATCTTTTCTGTGATGATTCAGCTATTGGCAAAAATAACGCGGAGTATGATTTTGAAGCACAGGAATCCTCTGTAATCCCATCTTCACCTGATCGTTATTTCAGGCATTACCTGTTTGTAGATAGAAATATTTTCCCCTTTAAAAAAAAAAGGCAAGAAGAGAAGGACATCAGTCTGTTTTTCTTGGCTTTTTGTAATTAATCCAGTTATCTATCTCTGTAAAGTCTGACAACAAATTATTGGTTCTTACCACCTTATTTCTCAGGAAGAAAACCTGGAAGGGGAAGTTGCCACAGAACCAGAACCATTAAAGCCCCCAGTGATTAACCTCAGTGTTGACATTTGCTGTCCTTATACTGGAATAATGTTTCCTCCCCTTATTCCATGCAGCCTTTTGATCTACTGAACACAAACCATTTACACTACTGACTCTTGTGACTGTGTCCCACCTACCCTTGACCCAAACTTCGCTTCTCTGGCAGCTGCAAGCTGCCATCCTGTAGTACTGGTCTTACTGGGGTTTTAGGCTAACTCAGAGGATGCTTTCCTTCTCTCCTTTCCAAGCGGGAGTTTGAGATTCCCATCTCTTCTCTCCTGAAAGTCTCCAAGGTATGAGAACTTTCACTTCTATCACTGTATGTTTCTCTACCCATAAGTGTGCTGCAGCGTCTGGAAAGGTTTCATTGCAGGGTTAGAAATATGAACTCCGTACCCTTGAAAAGAAGGAATTTCTCTTCTTTCCAGGGAGAAAGTCCACAGGAGTCTTGGTTTGGAGCTTGCAGCACCTGCCTGGTACTGTGATAATGGACTTTGAAAGTTCTGATGTTGTTAAATTAGAGGTGTTATTTTAGGTCATTTCAGAAGCTTTAATGGCTCCCTGTGACTGCACAGCTGGACTGATGATAACCGAAGCACAGACTTTGCAGGTGAAGGAATATGAAAACCAACACTAATAAAATGGTAATATTTTAAAAGCTTTTTTTCCCAAGTGTCAGATCCTGGCTTAAGAAAAGCCTGTGGAAAAGTGAAGTTGGGGTTTCTAAGCATTCCAAAGTGAGGCAATGCCTACATGACAGTTGGGTTGCATCTGCCCTTATTCAGCGCAACACAGTCTTCGGTTACATTCCTCACAATATTTCATATACGTGTGTATATACATCTCTCCCACTGGCTTCCAAAGTCTGTGCAACTTTGGCCTGTAATACCTTTGGTGTGCTCATTAGAGAAAATGAAAGGTATGAAGCAACAACGCAAGATCTATGAAAAGTCTCGTGTTAAAAGCAAACAAGACCTGGAATCGTTAAATCTGTTACAGGGCTCTTCCATGAAGCTGTGCAAGTCACTTGAACCGAGTGTCTCCCAGTGCCCATTCTTCCTTTTTTTTTTTCCATAAGCTCATGGGAAATGCACAGGTTGCAATCTGGAGAAATGTTTTGCTCTCACAACTATAATTGAAGTCACCGGACACGGAACATGTAATCTTCTGCTTAAGTGGGACTTCTCTGCTATAGGATCCTGGATGTCTCAAGCTGGACACTATGAATTACCAGATGATTTTAGCCTCACTGTGCCCCAGTTTCCTGTCTGATCCCTGTATGACAAGGTCAAATACAGAAGATGTTCACTGATGCCTACGAAGCACCAGGAGATTAGTGATGAGCACCACAAAGAAATTAATTGTGCTGTACTTGAGCAGAGGTTGGCTGGTGTCCCATGTATACAGCACAGGGCCGTGTTGAATGAGAAGTATGGGGTGCTGCCACCCAGTGCTGGCCCTGGGGTCCACGCTCGGCCCCGCCACCCGGGCCTGGGCCCGCCTGGGGGACACGGCAGCTCCCGGTGTGGGGCTGCAAGACACGGCACGATCCCCCCACCAATTCAAAGGCATTGCAGCTGAAGGTGCTGCCGCGCATCAACCCCGAGGAGCTGCTGCTGGTGGCCACTGAGCGGTACCGGCAGCACCGGCTGGGCCGCGGCACCCTGCGGGCCGAGTTCTGGGCCGAGGTGCCGCAGAGGAAGTGGAAGGCACAGCTGTCCTGGGAGGACTTGGTGCAGCTGGCGGAGGAGCACCAGCACCTGATGGCCTGGAACGAGGCAGAGAACACCCTGCAGTGGGCACACAGGGAGGAAAGAAGAGGAAGAACAGAAGAGGAAGAAGTTACAAGCTGCAGAGAACAAGGCCAAAATAATGGAGGCTTTCCTGAAAGAGAAGGAGGTTCTCCAGCTGCAGGAGGAAGCCGAAACGTTTGTCACCCCCGAGAACCTGGACGCACGGATCAAGGAGTGCCTGGACAATCCTCGCAACTACAAGTTTGCTATCGACAAGATGGTGTTGTCTTAGCGGCCCTGGCCTGCCTTCTGTCCAGAGGCTCCACTTAGGAGCAGGTTTCTTCCTTTTAACCTATAAATTGACTGCAGAAGTGTGGGAAATTTTTTTTCTATTAAAAAAAAAATTAGGTGGGAGTGTTGATCTGCTGGAGGGTAGGAGGGCTCTGCAGAGGGCTCTGGACAGGCTGGATCGATGGGCTGAGGCCAACTGTATGAGGTTTAACACGGCCAAGTGCAGGGTCCTGCACTTCGGCCACAACAACCCCATGCAACGCTACAGGCTTGGGGAGGAGTGGCTGGAGGGGGTGCTGGTTGCCAGCCGGCTGAACATGAGCCGGCAGTGTGCCCAGGTGGCCAAGAAGGCCAACAGCGTCCTGGCCTGTATCAGCAATAGTGTGGCCAGCAGGAGTAGGGAAGTGATTGTGCCCCTGTACTCGGCACTGGTGAGGCCGCAGCTTGGATCCTGTGTTCAGTTTTGGGCCCCTCAGTACAAGAAGGACGTTGAGGTGCTGGAGCGTGTCAAGAGAAGGGCAACGAAGCTGGTGAGGGGTCTGGAGCACAAGTCTTCTGAGGAGCAGCTGAAGGAACTGGGGTTGTTTAGTCTGGAGAAGAGGAGGCTGAGGGGAGCCCTCATCGCTCTCTACAGCTACCTGAAAGGGGGTTGTGGTGAGGTGGGTGTTGGTCTCTTCTCCCAAGTAACTAGAGATAGGACGAGAGAAAATGGCCTCAAGCTGCGCCAGGGGAGGTTTAGCCTTGATATTAGGAAAAACTTATTTCCTGAGAGAGTGGTCAAACATTGGAACAGGCTGCCCAGGGAGGTGGTGGAGTCACCATCACTGGAAGTGTTAAAAAAACTTGTGGATGTGGCACTTTGGGACATGGTTTAGTGGGCTTGGTGATGTTGGGGTTGATGGTTGGACTTGATGATCTTAAAGGTCTTTTCCAACCTTAAGGATTCTGTCATTCTGTATAAAGGGAAAGACTTAGCTGTTACTCATTCATTGAGCACCATCCCAAATGCATCCTAGATGCACAATACACAGCAAGCCTTAATACTTTCTAATTCCTGTGTATTTGGCTCAGCTATCCAAACCTCTCCAAATTTCTTCCTGTAAGTTCTGCATCCCTTTGCTCTGAACTGCCAAAAGGACTAAGGGACAGGAGATGCATAACCTCCAGGTCTAGTTGCCTAGACTTACTTGCACAACACAATGGAGAATGAAGAATTCTCATCAGTGCCAAATCAGATGATAGCAGCAAGTACTTTGGCTCTGAGATTTCATCAATATTTTCCATTGATTTTTATTTTTATACCAAAAGCAAAAAGTTTTGTCAAGTTTTTATTGATTTCCTGTCTGTCAAACCACTTTTTCAAATTTCTAATGGGGAAGGAAGCAAAAGACAAAAAAATAGGAAAGAAACTGTGATTATTATCTCCCCCCACTTTTTTTTTCCTAAGTATTCTTTCTTGGTATTATCAGCTGTTGCTATGAGCAGAGGTATTTCCTCCTTTCCGAAGGCTACAGTCCAAATGAAATGAAGAAATGCTGTCACATGTATAAGCAAGTCTGATGGCATCCCCTCAGTAACTCTCGAACTCAGATTTCACCTGCATGGTGAAATGGATAGTGGGCGCAGAGGTACTTGCTTCCTGAAGATTTCTGACAAGTCCCACACACACTTCTTCGGTAGTGTTTTGGACACAGTAAAAGAAAATTGACCTTATAGTCCCTGCTGAGAAGAAGAAAGCTGCAGTACGAGCTGACTGGTTGTCCCACTCTGGTTTCTGACAACAGGTGTAGTTTAACCATGGAGAAAGATCTATTAGGGACCTTATGCCTCATAGATACCAAAAAGAGAAAAGTCTCTTTTGTCACATTCTACTGTGCAGATTCTCTGGGCTTTAAGGAGCAAACTCTACCTGCTTTTCCTGCAGTTAGCATGCTTCAAACACCTCCCTCTGGCACCTGTTTCCCACTTGAGCCCTTGTTTCAGCAATATACCTCTAAGTCATGAGACACAAATCCATTGGAAATCAAACATTGACAGTTTTGGAGTTCACAGACCAATTTGTTGTTTATAACCAAAGCTTGTGGTCACTTCGATTATGATTTTTAGAATGGCAATTATTCTGCATGTACTTGGGTTAGAAAACTGCTCTGAGCCTTGCCAAGGGTATCCCATCACTCAGTTCTGGCTCACAATATTTTTTAGACCTATGTGGGTGGGTTTCACTGGGTGCCCAAGGTGGTCCCAGGGAACCTGACTCACCTTGTTACATAGAAACACTGAAAGCAAAGGCTGTGAATCAGTTCAGCAGCTCGTATGTTTTAGTGACTCAGGCCATTGGGGTGGATCAGTGCCTGACCTGTTTATGGTGGCTTATGCCTCCCTCCTCTTCTAGGAGCCCACTGTGTCCCAGGTGAGGATTCTTCAAGTCATAAATTTATGGAAGATACATTTAAAGTTCTGTGCTGTGGATAAGAAGCAGTTCTGAAATGTTTGATAGTCCCTGAAGTAAAATAACCTTTTCTTCTAGGTTTAGATTCAAAGGGGCAGCTCTTCACCAGATGCAGCTGAACTTTATAGTGTGCACTGTCTCCGCTTGCTGTGGGAGTCAATGTTTGCCCACTGCTCGGTGGTTGTGGGGCATTGTGCCTTTTGCAGAAATACCACTAAACTAGTACATGACCCTGAGCAGGTGTTTCAAACTTCAGAAGAAAAGAAATGGTGAAGCAGAAGAGGAAGGAATCATGACTACTCTTTTACCCTGGTACAGCAATGTGCTCATTCCCTTTCAGCCTTTTTCGTTTCAGTATAGGAAGGCTTGTTTCTTTCCTTGAAGAAATAAAGTTTGAAAACTGGGAAGAAAGAAGGACTAGGAATCCTCTGATCTTCCATCAGGAATGTCATTGCATTTAACTTAATTTTTTTTTTTTTTTAATGTTTGAACAACTAATTAATTCCCTAAAATTCAAACTGTGTTGACTTACCTATTCTGGGATAAAAAAATAAATGCATTTTGAACCACAGTGGATTTTCTGCCATGTTTAAGAACAGCTGGTTGAGACCGGGGTATTTTTGATTTGGAAAGAAACTGCTTAGCTGCCCTTTTCCTATTTAGACTGACCTCAAACCTTTCTGACAGCTTCCTGTGTGCTGGCTTGATGCTTTTTCCAAGCACAACTTGAAGATCCCCAAAAGAAGACAAGAGTCTCTCTGCAGTTCCCAGTTTGCTTTCTTTATCAGACTCTTCTTTTTCAAGGTTATCTTTAGCCTTATCCAGCATTTCAGGGAAAAAAAGAGGTGTCCTCTGGAGTTTTTTGCTACCTTGATGTAGAGCATCCCACAACATGTCCTGCTCTTTCTATCCTATCAGATGTCCGTGACATTTAAAGATATGTTTTTGGAGTTTGTCTCTCTCCATAAGCGATTGTTTAATCAGTGCCACTGGAAATATAGCAGCAAAACTTAATAGTGGGATCTGAAGTTGAGGAGATGAAGCTGGGAGGACTCTTGGGCATGACTGCCATACTAGAATGGACCAGTTTAGTAGAAAGTGTAAATGAGAAGGGATTTGATGCGTTCATCAAAAATGGGTGAGGAGCTAAGTGGGCAAGTCTAGGTTTCAAAACAAGGATGGGAAATGAATGGAAGAACTCACATTGGGCTCAAATTGGGTGGAACAGAGGAAATTGGGGAGCAGAGGTCCTGGTGACACTGATCAGTCACACAGTATTTGTCTGCTCACGGATGTTTTTATATGGCTACTGCTCACTTGAAAGAAATGAAGGTGTTGCTGTCCAACCACCAATTAGCAGGGGCTGAATTTCCCTGTATCTGGGGCAGAGCTCAGCAGGAGCATCTTTTAAACTACACCACGCTAAGGAAAGCCCTGAAGATTTCAGAGCTGGGGGAGGAGGGAACCACTAAGTGTTTGACAAATAGGGTCTGGTTCACCTCTCAAGCTAGTTTTATATCAGCATTCACAAGTTGAAAGTAATGGAGCTGCTCCTGATTTGCATTTTTTTAAATGAAGGCAGAACCAGACCTTTTCCTTTCAGTAGCTGCCTGCAGGCCGGCTGGCAGCAACAGCAGTCCTGGCATCCAGGTTAAAAGAGCTGCTCCTGCAACAGCTCCCACTGTAGTATAGGTTTTAAACACGTGCTTAACTTCAAGCAGAGGAGTTCAGGTGACCTCAGTGTAACTTGTTGGGCCAAGACCCAAGCATGTGCTGAAAACAGGCTGGGGAAAAAAAAAAAAAATCGATTTTTCCACAGCAGAATGATGTCCTCTGGGAGAAGCACTGCTGCTTGTGTCGACTACAGCAGGAGTGTGCAGCACACCATGATGTGCTCTGCAGGGCACGCTCCTGCCCCTAGACAAACAGAGATTTTCCATCTCTCATTTCCTTCTACGATCCTTTCTTGTCTGTAGCAGCATGCAAAATTAGCAAGCAGAGGCAGAAGCAATACGTGGAGAAATTCCTTCCAGGATTTTACTGTCCATATCTTTAAAAGACACTGTCCGAGTAATGAAAAGGCTGGAGGGAGATCCCCCTAGATCCCAACTAGCTGGGTCAAGAGTAGGGAAGAGCTTGCACAGAAATTGGCGTGTGGTGTCTCACTGCACTGACTCACCCGCTCCCTTGGGGCTCCAGTCCGGGAGCGACACGGTAGAGCCGGGTCCCTGAATCAAAGGGTAGAAAAGAGGGCTCCAGCCCCAAATCTGCCTCCTGTTGCCTCCTCCTCACAGCTGCTCTCACTGAGAGAGAGGGAGGAATTCTCCCAAGAAATGGTTGATGGCTTCATGCAAGGCTGGTGTTGTACCTGTTACCTTGCACATTTGCGGTTATCATTTGTGGGCAAAATGCAGCCCCCTTGCACTGTGTTATTCAGCATTTCGTAGTCTGTTTTCCTCAAAACCCAGCCGCTGAGAACATGGGAACGCCGCCTTAAAAGAGCACTGCATGGGAGAAAATGCAGGGGTGTCGGGTTTTGGGGTTTTTTTTTG